CGTGTGGGAGTGAATTATTCGTCATTTTTTTCTTCACTTTCTCAAGCAGGAAAAATAAAAGAACATTTATATATGACTTTGTTGGCAAGTGAGTGCATGTGTTTGCACTAAATAGAAAGATAGAAACAAAGAAATGTTTCCCAGAGAAATGTATATTTGTAGATGTGCGGCTGTGGGTGATTGGATGTGGCATATATATATATATATATATATATATATATATATATATATATATATATTTTTATATATTAATTTTTTTTTATTTTTTTTATTTTCTTATTGTTCAAAATATATATATATATATATATATATATTCATTTATATGGACATTAGTTTAGACCTTGGGTTTCAAAGCTTTTGCGATCATCATTGTCTGCTGATCTCAAAAGCGTGAAACCCAGGGTCACAAACTGATATCCATACAAATGAATGTGTTACCTCTATCGTTGATATTGAGCACTTTCAATAAGTATCGCACACACACACACACGCGCGGGTGCGCGCACACACATATATATCTATATGAAGAGAGAGCGGGAAAACTGATTTTCTTCTTTGTTAAACACAGGAGTATATATAATGCTAGAATGTGGTTGTGTGCAAAAGATAAAGAAGGAGAAGAGGGGTAGACAGAGGGAGAGAAAGAGGGAGATGGAGAGAGATAGGAAGAAAAAGAGAATGAGTAATAGAGAGATAGAAAGAAAAGGTGAGAATGGGAGACTATTATAAGCAAAAGCATTGTTCAGTCTCAATCACGAAGTGGCTTAATGGCGTGAACGAATTTACTCTTGCTTTTGTTCCTCGTCGACAGACGTGGTTGTCGGTATTGTTTAAATAAAAATCATTTTTGTTTTCATTCGTTTCTGGGGAAAATACTAAATGCAGTCAGCACAGATAACAAGCACCAACTGAAAAATGGCCTTCTTCTCACTCCTCCCTTTTCTCTTCAAATATTCTTCGTATTTTACTCTGCTTATTTATCCTTACATTTCTTTCGATGCTACCCGTACACCCGTATCTTAGCCAGAAGCAAAATGATCGCTAATCATTTGCCGTCATCTATTTTCTTTATAGTTTTTTCTTTGTATGCATACATATATACACACATAATGATAGATAACAACTCGTTTGTGAGTCCACCCATCTACTAGGGCAGCTAGAAATCCCTGTTGGAGAAACCTGCTCAGGCACATTTGTTTAATACCTACAGACCTCATCTGCAACTATGCTGAACGGGTTTTATTTATAGTTTCTGGAAGAGTGCTCATTTTCTTCTTTTAAACAAGGCTAGTACGTTCAAACCCTCGCTGACCATGACATGTGACTTCCCTCGGTCACGATGACTTGTGACTTCGTGCTAGTACAGCCATCAGTGGCCTCCGAACAGTTCCATCTATCCAATTTCACTCACAAACTTGGTTAACCCGCAATATAGCTTTAAAGAATCTTTTTAAGCTGTCGCATGTTGATATCTCGTCCCTAGATCAATAACATGAAGAAGTTTCAAATCGACCCTGGGGAAATTCGAACCAGGTTCGCATGGTTGGTTGGTTAATTAATTTGTTTTAGCGGCATGGGTCATTTAATGCCGTAATATAAATAATTTGTAATGGCAATCAACTAAATATATTTTGAACGCCATTGTATGCTTTCAACTACTGATCAAAGCTATTGTTGGCCTCTGTCTGTAGAAAGCTGTAACGAGGGGAAGTGAAAAAATCAAGCGTGGCTGACCACATATGGAGAGAATAGGGAGATGACCACCTTCTGTGAGATCATGTTGAGATCATAGACAAAGAACATCATTGGAAAATTTGTAAACTTCAGGAATCAGCACATATACTACGCCACAAAAATCTCCTGAGCCGACCAAGCATAGAAATGAATACAATATGGGAACCAGTAATAAGGATTGCCGGAGAAATGCGATAATAACAAAAATTAAAATATGAGCTCTGGTAAAAATATAAAATGATAACAGGAAAAATTTCAATATGAGCACTGGTAAAAAATTGTTACTGAAGACATTAGGCTTATAATACCCAGAAATTTATACACAGATGTCCTCAAGGACACATGTCACAGTGGATAAAGGCGTTGTTTAGATCCAGTGACAGGACCCAAAGAGTGTGAGTTCAATACCTGGTTAAGGTGGTGGTGAGAGGAATTAACAAGAGATAACTGACATCTATTAGACATGGCATGTAGAACTAGAACAGTCTACTAAATAAAGGTTTCAGTTCGACATTCCAACCACCTGAAGAAAGCCGGAGCGTACAACGGCCGAAACTTTGTAATAAATATGACGACAAAGATGAGGACCGAATAATGTAAATAGTGTATTGTTGGTCATTTTTTATATAAAATATATTGCTGGTATTTTTACTATAAAATATATATTTTTATACTTTCATAGTTTTTTTTTGTTTGGGGGTGCACTATTTGGCAATAGTTGGGACCCTAACATTTGCTACCATCCAGGGTTAGGGTGGACCTGGGAACACCGCAATTAAGAGCTGGTTCTACGATCCTCAAATTCTTCCGATTATTCCCAGGACTAGGCATAGTCGGAAAGCGTGCGTTCTCCATACATATATTAATAATAATAATAATAATAATAACTGGCCACTTGTATTCGAGCGGCTAGCCAATCCCTAATTCAGACGCCCGCTCAGGCGCATTTCTGTTTGTTCAAGACGCACAGGGCCTACTTGTGATTTCTATTGCAATTATGCTGATCAGATCTTAGTTGCAGTTTCTTGGAGAGAGCGTGTTATCTAGCGTGATCAACAATCTGAACAAGGCCAACTCACTCAAAACCTCGGTCACGATGACTTGTGACTTCGTGCTAGCACAACTATCGACGGTCCCGCAAGTCTTCTGTCTACCAAATTTCACTCACAAGGCTTGGGTCTTGTGGTTTGGTTTTCAGGTACTTTCCAAAACGCTGGGATTGTCTCCCTCCAGACTGATAACATCATGAAGTCAAATCAACCGTGGTGAGATTCGAAACCGGCTCTCATGGTCAGAAAGCAAACGCGCCCATACATACATACATGCATACATACATACATATATGCATGCATTGCTGAACTGAGATAGGCGAAAAGATAGAAATATATATAAGCAGATAAAGAAATAGATACACACAGATATTTTTTTACACAAACGTCCACCCTGTACAAGGGCTATGAGCCACTCGAGGTAGAGGATTAATGAATATGAAGCACTGTTTATACGGTATACGGGGAACATAACGGTAAACCCTAGATTTGAACATGTTAAGATTGTAGCAATCGAGGAAGTATCCACGTGGGAGTATTTTCTCACCAATGGAGTACGAAAGGAATGACGGTGGTTCGTTTCAACAATGTGTAGGGAATGGCGGATCCTAGCCGTGAAGGTTAGAATTGGTGGAACTAAAGAATGTAGTTTGTCTGAACATTTTCCATGGAAATATCTATAGAGCAGCGGGGAGATCGCGATGTTTCGTCTGTGAAGAAGGGTGGAAAATAATCCATCACCAACAAGGCCGAGGAGACGCTTTTGGTTGAGACTGGAAAGCGAAGACTGGGCAGCTCCTGCCCGGATATGGCAGCAGTGCTCCATTTCCGGTCTGATCTGGCTCTTGTATAAGTAGAAGACAGCAGAAGGAGTCAGGTACGTTTGTACTGGGACAGATAAGTAGATAGGCAGAGTGAGATAGTCATGAATAGACTGATTTCGATAGAGATACGTGCAGACAAAGAAACAGGCTCACAGAATTACATAGACATGAATCTACTAGGATATGAAGAATCTGAGGTAGCTAGACTGAAGTATATATGAAAAGATTGATCTTGATCGAGAAGTAGATAGATAGATAGATAGATAGATGGAAATTGCAGTTGTATGTAAAAGATCCGAGGGCTGTCGATTAAAAATTAGACGTTGAATGTAATGCAGAAAACATTTGTTTCGCTGAAAATGTTTCGTACTAACTGATACATAAATAGGAATAGGAATCAAATAAATATAGAGACCTTGATGGATATGATAGTGAAAGAAAGAAAGAAAGAATCAATGACTGAAAGAAAGGAAGAAAGAAAGAAATTTAAGAGAAAAAAAGAAAGCGAAGGTGATTACGTTGTTTTGTTGTAAAGACTGTCCAGAAGAAATTCCTAAACGTTATTTTTGTAAGCATTATTGTGTCTACATTTTCAGGCAATTAGCAGGAAAGAAGTTTCTGTTAGGCAATCTTCCAGATATCAGGACGGAAAAAAAAAAAAAAAAAAAAAAAAAAAAAAAAAAACAAACAAAACAAAACAAAACAAAACATAAAACCTTACGCCGCATTGATAGAATTTTAGTTTTGGTAGATTTCGTTTGCACAATTTTTAAAAATATTCCTATTTTTTTTTTCTGCAAATGCAAGTTGGTTGTTCTTTTAATAATGATAGTTTTGTATTGTAAAACTGGAAACATCGAAGTTACTGATATTCCTAAGCTGGCACCCATGTAGGTACTGACCAAGATCCACGTTGCTTAACTTCGGTGATCGTACTAGAACCGGCGATATGACTATCATACAAAACTACCATTAATACCTTTTCCATTGACGGGAGACCGCGAAGGAATACCAGTTGCTGTAAGCTTGGATGTGCGGGAGGTGTGATAGATAATGGCTTAGAATGAGAAATCGGACAGCAGTGTTCGAATTCCAGTCGGGTTTGTTATAATCACTTACGCACAAATACCCTTGGAAAAGGTATGGATCTATCTCTTCTATCCTCCAGCTATGGGTTGAATAGCAGAACAGAGTGGGGGGGGGGGCTATAAGCTTAGTAGGTAACTATTCAAAACGTAACGGCATTTTACTGCTGTGATTCTTCTGTCCTCATACAGGAATCGAAAAAAAGAGACATGATTGCCTGAGCGTGAAGCACACATAGCACCTAAAGAAGCAATTAGAAAAAGATGTAATATCTATACCGAACTGACCGGCTTGCAGCCGCTTCATGTTGAAACCCTGGTTCTCATCCGATCACCGAAGTTAAGTAACGTTGAGCCTGGTCAATACCGAGATGGGTGACCACTCGGATATACCATGTGCTTTAAGCTTGGATGTGCGGGTGGTGTAATGAATAACACCTCGGAATTGTTAATCGGAGTGCCGAGTTCCAGTTTCATTTGGACTCGTTATATTCACTCACGCATAAATACTCTTGGGAAAGTTATGAATCCATCTTTTTCCCCCCAGATATGGGTTAAATAGTAAGGCAGAAAATGATTATTATTTCCAAAGTTTTCTCACAAAAATATGTTTTGGCTTTAAATAACCTTAAAAAAGGTTGATAAGCCGTAAAAAACAAACCAATCAATCAATTGACTATAAACGGGGAAATGAAATGTGAAAGAGTTTATAAAACTGCATTTTGTTTTTTTAATTTAAAGTATTTTAAATTATATTCTATAAAGTCACTTCATTCAGCTTAAGCACTAAATTTGTACTTTACGTTTCAGAAAAATGATTTTAATACGCAAAAAAACTTCGCATTTTTCATAGAAGTTCTTTTAGAATGAGGTTTTACAGAATTTTAAATCCTGGCAATTCATAAAAAAGAAGAGCCATTCAATTATTTTCGGTAATGAATTCACAGATTAAGGTTTTCAAAATCTATGTACGAAGCCTTTCTTGAAAGCATCAACCCGTAAACGGTTACGCGGTCTTGATGCTAACTGGCGTAACGTTATCGTTGCAACGAATACATGGCTAAAACTTTCAAACGAAAAAATGTTAATTCACTTCTGAGCTTCGTTAATTAATATCGGTGTGAGGGTGTGTAGTTTTGGGGACTTTCTGCGAACATGAATTTCTTTCTCGTGGAGATTTGAGAGACTTTGGTTTTACCTACTTGAGTGGCACGCTTATATAACTTCCTGTCATCCAATTGTCTGGCGTGTGCACATGACAAGCTCAGCTCGGCCGACCACCACTTTTTTAAATGTCGTTACAGTCACTGATAATATTTGATGTTCGATCCTAATCACTGGAGCGATGAGCATCATTTTTCAGAACAACTTTCTGACGCATTTGACTTTTTTGTTGTTCGGGTGTAAAGCGGAGTGGAAATCCTACTTTAGTATCAATTGAGGTGAGTCCAGTTTATACGATTTAATACCATTCAGACCATCTGGTATTTCCTGGCGTGACTTCCATGATACAATGGCAACTAATCAGAAAGTATTGCGTGTACGTGAATAAAAGTTGCCTCAATGAAACGATATGGAGTAACTTTATGTATTTGTTTTATCATTGAACCTCAAGTAATGCGACAATGCCACTAAGATATTGAGAGTGAAAGAGAAGAAGAATTTAATGAGTAGACAATAAAAGACAGAAGACGGTGATTGACGTTGCATTTAAATTAATGAAAATATTTGGTAAAAAGGAAGCAATAAACCGAAAAGGAGTTCTACAGGTGAGAAGTGCAAGAAAAGAAAATATTAGAATAGAACTTTCATTTAGTATGCAACAGTAAAATAATGAGTTCTAGTTTCCAATGTAGTTTTACGTTTCAATTCATGCTGTCGAGATAGCCAGGTAAGGAAAGGAGTTTATTAGAAGAATTGCCATGAAAATATTTATAGAAGAGGCAGAGAGACATCACAACATGGCGGTGGGAAAGTGTCAGAAACATGTATTGTGTAAGCGATTATTAACAATGAATAAGAATAAGGTTTTTATTGAAACTCGGATAATAGTGGGTATTATTCGAATGATTAAAAAGTATTCCGACATGGATAAATTGATTTTTTTTTGTTTCAAATCAGGATAGTTTCATAAAATAATACATAATCTGTATTGCACTTTTGACAATGTACGTACAAAATCATCAGACGTACAAACTCTAAAAGCTTTTTGAACTTGTAGGTTTGATGAATTGGATCCTGATTACGATACCAATGTAATAAATTATAACCATGGGATATTAGTGTTTGAGCCTTTATATATATATATATATATATATATATATATATATATATATATATATATATATATTGTTAAACATGTCAAATAATTATGAAGGTAAGACAATTTGGATAAAAAGGACAATTGGAAAACAGTTCTTAGTCCTTGCTGACGCGTTTCGTTACTCATCGGCAAGGACTAGTAACTATTTATCATCTTTTATTTATAATCATTTACCTTGATAAAATACGAATGATGAAACGTCATTTGAGAAGAGAAGTAGTCATTGTTTACGTTAACATATGTTTCGTGAGCAGGAATGATCGATTGAGAAAAATCGGTGATGGTGTTTGTTTAAAAACATTCATTCGGACTTTGCCAACCAGACGTTTCTCTGTAGCTGAATGGCATCAGCACGTCAGGCTATATGAGGGTTCCCCCATAATGGTTACAGGTTCGATTCCTGTCGGAAAGCGCATATTTCGTACGAAATTTCTCAAACATTCCGGCCGGTAAATGTAATTAATAATGTTTAATTAAAAAACAAAGAACTACTTAAATAAATTAGATCTATAAAAATAACGTATAATCAGAATATATATATATATATATATATATATATATATATATATATATAAGTGGGCATTGAAGTCAACACTCATCGGCGACAGTCTGTCTCAGCCTTAAGTGCGATCATCAGGCCATCTGCATTGTGTTTTAACACGACTATTTATATATGCTGGCCCGTGGTGCATTATGGTTAGCTCTTTTATATTATTCTATTGGTGGGAGGTAAAGGTTATGTTTCGAATTATCCTAGAGGCTATTGAGTGGAAATAATTGTAGATCTGAATGTAGTTTTGTGGCTATTTGATAGTTTTATGTGTTATCTTTTTTACCCAATATTTTCTATTGATTATTGGTTATTACTCGTCATTATTACGATTAGTTTGTTAATTTGTTTATTATTTACTAAACTTATTTACTTATTTTTATTTACATATTTTTAATTATTTTGTTAGATTTAATTTACAATTTAGTTTTCAAAACTTTTATGCTTTGTGAATTTTTTTTTATTATAGAACTCACAATCGCCATGTTACCAAATTCCCACCGCATTAATTTAATCCACTAGAATATTGCCCAGTTGTTTTTTGAATTTGGTGACATCGTGATTGTGAGTTCAATCCCTGGTTCAGGTAGCATGCAATTGTACTCAGTGGAAACTGGGGAGAACAATAATTGAGTAATACTAAATAAGAATAAAACCTAGACGATATCCCTAAAAATAAGCAGTGGAATGAGAACAGCCAAACTAGTGGGTTACTCCATTTTACTTTACTAAAAAACCGCCGCTAGGGGACGCTTATTAAGGCTATAAATAGACAATGATATTCTCAGCTATTCTCTTTCCTCTTTCATAACTCCAGCTATAATAAATAGTCGCACATAGGAATAAAAGTGTTCCCCACTGGAGCACGTTCACTTTGGTTTCAATGTATTACTTTTCTCTTGGACCTTTTGAAATCACGCTTGTCTATCACGTAGGCCTACTAACATTCCACAAACACACATTCTATAATTTAAATGCATTCTGTATAATTAGTCTTTAAATGTTTTTTTTTATTGACATTGTATACTTCTGTTAATACATACATTGTCGTTTGTTTTATATACTGTTTGGTGCTATTCATTTATTACTCGGACTCACATTCGAGTTTGCAATAATTGTTACGGAAAAGATATACAAAAAGACACACATTTTCTACATGAACACAAGCATTCCCACAACAACCCTCGTAGATTAAATAAAGGGTTCAGTTCAGAATTCAATGTAGGTTACTCAGGTCGATATGCACCTGAAGAAGGTCAGAGGGCTTAAAGGCCGAAATGATGTGATAACGACAACAAAAATAAGAAAATAGTACGAATCTAAATAGTCTAAATAATGGTAATTCCTCATCCCAGGAATTCAGACGGAAACAATCTTTTATATTTTCAAGAACAATGGATTTCCTGGAATTTTGTGAAATTTTGTTACAATATTCTATTTCACAATTCTTTGCATTTCTACGACGACAGGAAAAGTGTTTTATGCTGAACGGTAACATTCTAGTAATTTCTCTTTCCAGGTCATTATATGTGGAGTTGTTATTGAATTCTTTCACAGAAATGTTTTTAACAAACACGATGATCGTGGCCATCGCAAAGCTTTCATGTTCTTTGAAGTCTTTGATGACAATATCTGGTCTATTATAAAATGCGATTTTTATGTATACTGAAATCCCATGACGGAGTAACACCTTCACCAACAACTGGTGGCAGGTTTCACTCATAACAATTTTTGTATGGGGGAGGATATAGTACTAGCACATATTCCAATAAACGTATTCCTATACCCTATAGTGCCTTTATTATTATTATTATTATTATTATTATTATTTCCGGGGTCCGCCCAGAGACCAAATTTCAGAAATGGCATTTTCCCCTGAGCTATTATAAAGAAAAGGTAAATAAAAAAGAAAATAAATAACAAAAAATGCACACACATATTTTATATAGGTAAAGCCCTTCGTGAGGTGTTGTCTGTACTAGTAAGAATGAGTTTATCGAAATATTTTCCACTCAATCTGAGGGCTCCAAATACTACAGAAATTGTTGATGTTCTCATGTGCCACATTTTTTGAGATTTCGATTTCAAGGTTCTTGTATTTTGATATCTTTTTGAAGATCTTCAAAGATACATTGCTGCCTACAGGGACTACCATATCAATAAGGAGGCAATTGTTTTGGTTGCGTTCTCTAATAAAGATGTGTGGGCAATTAGCTTGGATTGTTCTGTCTGTGTGTATTGTGTAGTCCCATAAAATTGTAAAACATCCTATTATTATTATTATTATTATTATTATTATTATAATACACTTTTCTTTTTGACCTGCATTTATTCATATAATCACATACCGGGTCATAATCCTAAGGCAAGCGAATGGTTGTGATTCTTATTGTCTCCACAATTAAATAAAAAGGTCACTTGCATTATTTACATTATCCGAACTGTTATCCTCATCTTCATTGCCATATTCGTAACGTTTCGGCCTTCTTCAGGTGATTGGAATTTCGAACCGAACCATTTATTTGGTC